CAGCTCCTTCCCAGTGCCTGATTGACCTAGGATTAAAACCGTAGAATCCGTGGGTCCGGCTTTGGCAATATTGGCTTTCAGCTGCTGCATCGCTGGCGACGATCCGATCATGGGGAAATCAGCCAGTTGAGGTCTCTGTATCACTGACGGGTTTGTCGTCGCGCGTTCAATGGCGGCCAGAATCTGTGCGGTATCCAGCGGCAGCGGCAGATAGTCGGCAGCACCTCTTTTTATGAAGGTAACAGCTGCAGCAATGCTGCCGGAGCGGGTCAGTACAATAGTCGGTACGCTGCTTGCGATATGGGTTAGATGAGGTTCGACAATTTCATCGAGAATCACCACGCACTGGTGCTGGGACAGGCTCGCCAATGCTGGCAACTGCCCGTTTGCCTTTGCCACTAAGCCTTGCTCACACAATTCCGCGGCAAGCGCATCGGCGTGCTTGGTGTCAGAATCAATGAGCAATATGTCTGTCATAGGTTGTCATCTTAGCAAAGGAACCGGGGTGCGTCAGGCAATCAACGCGGCCCTTTTAAAGCTTCTTTTAAGCGTTTTCGACATACGTTGAAAGCTGTTTTGGGACCCTGTCCAGGCGCCAATTGGATAACCCCCACTGGAGCCATTGGGATACCGCCCAGGCAGGTTCCACGGGCGGGTTCTGGCCCAGGTATGACAGGGCGGATCGCAGATTTGCAGCAGCTTGATGGTTATTCAATGATGGCGCGTGTGTCTGCTTCGATAGTTTGGTGCCGTCGGCAAAGCTCAATACAGGCAGATGAGCATACTGTGGAGGTGCCAGATCGAGTAACTGCATGACGTAGATCTGTTGTGCGGTGACTTCTAGCAGATCTTCGCCGCGCAAGACGTGGGTGGCATCCTGGCCATCATCGACGGCAGCAGCAAAATTGTATGCCCATAAGCCGTCGCGACGTTTAACAATGAAATCGCCCTGATCGCTGGCCATTTGATAGGAAAACGCACCCTGCAGCTCATCTATGAAACTCACTTCAATGTCCTGCACATGCAGGCGCACGGCGCAATCGGCTTGCAAGGCTTTGCGGCCGCGACAGGTGCCAGGGTAGATTGGCTCACCAGATAAAGAACGACGGCTGCAATTGCAGTAGAAAAGCTGGTCCTGTACGCGCTGCAAGGCAGTTTCATAACGATGCTGATGATCGCTCTGGTAGTCAACGACGGTGCTACCGTCACGGTTGCCGATTAAACCGTGAACATTCAGGGCAGCAATGATCTGGCTATCCGCCAAAGGGTCCTGTCGCGGTGGGTCTAAATCGTCCAGCCGTACAAACCATTGCCCGCCGCGTTGTCGGATATCCAGATAGCTGGCGAGTGCGGTAAGTAAGGACCCCATGTGCAGGGGACCCGTTGGGGAAGGTGCAAAACGCCCGGTGAGCTGCCGATTGTCTCCGGGCGTGTGCAAGCGGTTAGCCGTGGATTTGCCGCTCTTTTATTTCATCCAGAGACTTGCAGTCTACACACTGGGTTGCGGTTGGCCGTGCTTCCAGGCGTCGAAGCCCGATTTCGATACCACAGGTGTCGCAATAGCCGTAATCTTCCTGGTCCAGTCGATCAATGGTCTGATCGATTTTCTTAATTAACTTGCGTTCCCGGTCGCGGGTCCGCAGTTCAATACTGAACTCTTCTTCCTGGGTTGCCCGGTCAGCGGGGTCCGGAAAATTTGCAGCTTCGTCTTGCATGTGGTGTACGGTTCGATCAACCTCTTCCATCAACTCGCGACGCCAGTTCATCAACATTTCCCTGAAGTGCGCCAGCTGCGCCTCGTTCATATATGTTTCTTTTTTCTTCGGTTCGTAAGGTGTGTAGTTACGAAAGGGAGAATTGGCTGTTGCGCGGGGCGCGGTAGAACCACTTTTTGCCGTACTGGCCTTTTTGCTGGCCGCCTTTTTAGTGGCTGCCGTCTTGCTGGCAGTTTTTGCCTTTGCTTTAGTCGCCATAGATCATCCTATACATGGGGTAAAATGCACCCGGATCTGCGAAGGGCGCGTAAGCTACCAGAAGGCAGAGCACAAAACCACATCAAAGTAGCGAAGTTTTGCTGAAAAATAACCTGACTGTTAGTACAAAAAATTGCACCAAGTGTGTGCGCTAGAGGAACATTGAATGCTGTTTGCTGAACGGGTAAATCTGATCCAGCCATTTCGCGTTATGGAAGTGGTCAGGCGCGCTGCCGAATTTGAGGCTCAAGGTACACGCGTTGTGCATTTTGAAGTGGGTGAACCCGATTTTGCGACCGCCGGGCCCATCGTTGAAGCAGGCCGCCAGGCGCTCCTGGATGGGCGGACAAAGTACACCGAAGCTACCGGCATTATTGCCCTGCGTGAAGCGATCTCCGGTCATTACTCGCAGTTGGGTATTGCGGTGGAACCTCACCGGATTATTATCACCAGTGGCGCGAGCGGGGGGCTCACTTTACTGGCGGCATTGCTGTTGAACCCTGGTGATGAACTGTTGATCACAGATCCCGGTTACCCCTGTAACGAGGTATTTGCTCAACTGGCAGGCGGGGTGCCGAAACCGATTGTGGTTGAGCCACAAAACCTCTTCCAGCCGACTCTGGCGCAGGTTGAAAAACATTGGTCTGCAATCACCAGAGGTGTGTTGTTTGCGTCTCCTGCCAACCCCACCGGAACTATGCTGCCGGGACAAACACTGCGGGAGATTGCTGCGTTTATTGCAGCAAAGAGCGGCTTCTTTATTCTTGATGAAATTTATCAGGGGCTCACACCAAATGCGGCTTATCACTCTGGCCTGGCGCTGGCCGATAATTTATTTGTGCTGAACAGCTTCTCCAAGTTTTTTGGCATGACGGGGTGGCGTCTGGGTTGGTTAGTGGTGCCGGAAGAAGCTGTTCAAGGCGTGACAAAACTTGCTCAGAACCTGTTTATTGCGCCAAGTACACCGGCGCAATATGCAGCGCTCGCGGCATTCAGTGGGCCTGCTATGCAGATTCATCGCGATCGTGCCGCACAGTTTATGAAGCGTGCAACGATGTTAAGCCAAGGGCTGCAGCAGCTCGGCTTCAAAATACCCGTGCAGCCTCAGGGTGCGTTCTATCTTTACGTCGACGTATCCAATACCGGCCTGCCGGCGATCGAATTCTGTCATCGTCTGCTGGAAGAATTTCAGGTTGCAGTAACACCCGGCGAAGATTTTGGCGCCAATACGAGACATGCTTTTGTCCGTTTTGCTTTTACCACCGATGAGGCATCTATTCAGCTTGGCCTGCAGCGACTGCAAACAGCACTGCAGCGCTGGGGTGTTGCGTGAAATTACCTGAGCTCTTTGAAGGGGTATTGCTGCGGCGCTACAAGCGCTTCCTTGCGGATTTCGAATTGCCCGACGGGTCACAAATAACTGCACATTGCCCTAATACTGGTGCAATGACAGGCTGCGCCGAACCCGGCAGCCGTGCCTGGGTTTCAGTGTCAGACAATCTGAAACGCAAATATCCACACACATTGGAAATTGTGCAGACTGCGCAAGGATACGTATCAGTTAACACCGGGCGTGCGAATTATCTGGTAGCGGAGGCGCTGCAAAACGGCACGGTGACCGCTATAGATGCGCCGACCATGATCAAGGCTGAGGCTAAAATACCCGAAGGAGACGGGCGTTTTGACTTTCTGGTTGTCGATACGGACGTTAACGTTTCTGTCGAGGTAAAAAGCACAACTTTAATGGTAGGTGATCATCTGGGTGCGTTTCCAGATGCAGTAAGCAGTCGTGCGCTGAAACATCTGGATGCTCTGGCACGCAGGGTTGTCGCAGGTGAACGTGCGCTGCTTATTTTTTGCGCCCAGCATTGTGGCATCGAGCAGGTCAGGCCCGCAGCGGAAATAGATATCGCTTATGCTGAAAAGTTAGCCGAGGTCGCGCAACTGGGTGTTGAAGTCCAGGCTTATGGGTGCAGTACCGATCTGCACCACATGTCGATTGACCGACAGCTAACCGTGTTGCTCTAGCAGGCGTTGATAGTCCTCAATGGCGGTCAGTCGAGCGCCATAGTGGGTAATCAGTTCCGCGGCGCAGCGATTGGCAAAGTGAGCTGCCTGGGCCGGCGTAGCACCGCGACAACGAGCTGCAAGAACGGCGCCTGCGTAGATGTCGCCCGCACCTGTGGTATCTACCGGCTTTACAGCGACACCAGGCGCTTCACCACCGCCTTCTCTGGCAACAGCGATAGAACCTTTGGCGCCGAGGGTGACGTAAACTTCAGGAGCGATGTCCTTCAGTTCTTTTATCGCGATGTCTATGCGATCTGTGTTTGCCCAGGATAGGGCTTCTTCTTCATTGCAGAACAGTTGGTTGATGCCGTTGCCTAACATTTGATGTAAGCCGTCTCGACAGAATTCGACCATCGATACGTCGGAAAGTGAAACAGCAACATCAATGCCATGCGTCTCACTCAGCTCACGACAGTAAACTGATGCGGCGGTCGCGCTGGGTGACGCTGCCATGTAGCCTTCTACGTAGTAGTAACGAGAGTTTTGTAATGCTTCAGTGTTGACTTCGTTGATACTCAATTCAACCGATACGCCCAGGTCTGTCATCATGGTGCGTTCGGCATCAGCGGTGATGAGTACCAGGCATTGACCGGAATTGCCCGGGCCCTCGGTGTCCGAGTTACCTTGGGCATTGGCGTTAATTTCAACGCCAGAGGCGGTGAGGTCCTGGACAAAAAAATCACCGGTTTGGTCATGGGCCAGTCTGCAGTTGTAACAAGCTTTCAAACCTAGACCCTGCACAGCGTAGATAGTGTTGGCGGCAGAACCGCCGCTGCAGCTGTTCTTAGGCAGTTCAGCGACCGCAGCGACGAGAGATTGCATCAGCTCGGTATCCACCAGCGTCATGTGCCCTTTAGCAATTCGATGCGTATGCAGAAATCCTTCGTCTATATTCACTTCAGTGTCGACCAGGGCATTACCCAGTCCAAAAACGTCGTACATGTTGATCCTTACGGGTTAGAGCGCAGCAAAGGCTTGGTCTGCTGCGGATAACGTGGCTTCGATTGCCTCGCTGTTGTGTGTGCCTGAGACAAATCCTGCTTCGAATGCGGAAGGTGCCAGATAGACACCATTATCCAACATGGCATGGAAAAAGCGGTTGAACTTTTCGACATTGGAGTTTGATACATGGTCAAAGTTTTCAACCTGCTCCACATCAAAGAACAGACCAAACATGCCACAGACGTGATTCGTGGCCATTTGCACTTTGTGCTTGGCAGCCAACGCCTTTAAGCCTGCAACCAACGCGTCGGTTGCTTGTGCAACGCGCTCGTACAACGCGTCATCCAGGTGCGACAGAGTGCTGAGACCTGCGCTTACCGCAAGTGGGTTGCCGGACAGAGTGCCTGCCTGATACACCGGACCTTCAGGAGCTATATAGGACATGACATCGGCGCGCCCGCCAAATGCGCCAACCGGCAGACCGCCGCCAACAATTTTCCCCAGTGTGGTTAAGTCGGGTTGGATATTATACATGCCCTGAGCGCTGCCCTTATGCACGCGGAAGCCGGTCATGACTTCATCAAAAATCAGCAGCGCGCCATCCTTGCGGGTAATGTCCTGAAGCCCCTCCAAAAAACCTTCAACCGGTGGGATGCAGCCCATATTTCCGGCAATGGGTTCAACAATGATGCAGGCAATCTGTTCCGGGTACTGAGCAAAGATGGCTTGCACAGCGCTGATATCGTTAAAAGGTGCGTTCAACGTATCCGCGGCGACGGCTGCAGGTACGCCAGGCGAATTGGGTATGCCCAGCGTCAGTACACCACTACCTGCTTTTACCAGCAGTGAATCTGAGTGGCCGTGATAACAGCCGGTGAATTTCAGAATCTTGTCGCGGCCGGTAAATCCACGTGCAAGTCGAATGGCTGACATCGTTGCTTCGGTACCGGAATTCACCATGCGCACTTTTTCAATGCTGGGGACACGTTCGATAATGGCCTCTGCCAGCGTGATTTCGCCTTCAGTCGGCGCACCAAAGCCGAGAGCTTTTTGTGCCTGAGCAACAACAGCGTCCACGGTGGGCTGGTGGCCGTGACCCAGAATCATGGGTCCCCATGACCCCACGTAATCGACGTACTGATTGTTGTCCACATCGTACACGTACGGGCCGTTGCCTCGATTGAAAAATACCGGGTCACCGCCCACGCCTTTGAATGCGCGCACAGGTGAGTTGACGCCACCGGGAATGCTGCGCTTGGCACGACGAATCAGGTCGCTGGAAGTAGATCGGTTCATAAAACGCTCATTAGTCTATTTTGGTTTAGTGCAGCCGGTACAGGTTAAAAAGGTTTAACCACAACCAGAATCACCACAGCCACCAATACCAGGGAGGGTAGTTCATTGAAGATGCGGTAAAACTTTTCGCTGTGGAGGGCACGATCATCGGCAAACGCTTTGATGATCCGCAGGCAGTAATGATGATATCCGATCAGTGCGATGACAAATAATAACTTTAGCCAGATCCATCCCTGGGCGGAAAATGCCTGCCAGCTTTCGATCAGAAGCCATGTGCCTAGTACCAGGGTTGCGATCATCGAGGGGTTCATGATGATTTTGTAGAGTTTGGCCTGCATCACTTTGAAGCGTTCTCTGCTGACCTCGTCAGTTGCGCCAGAGTGGTAGACGAACAGCCGCGGCATGTAAAACAAGCCCGCAAACCAGGTGACAACGAAGATGATGTGGAAAGCTTTAAGCCACAAGTAAAAGGTCATGCCGACGTGTTCCTGTAATTTTCGATGTGGCTTCGGGTCACAACACCAATAATGGGTTTAATCATCGGCGCGGTGGTGCGAGTCACGCAGCAGGCTTCAGATTGTGTCTTGTCCAGCAGTTCCTGCAGCTGCATCACCGTGGCCTCTGCGCCAATGGTGGTCACATCCATGCGCTGACCGGGTATCTGTAAGAGGCGGATTTTTTCATCCGCCTGGTCTTCAATCAACTCTAATTGCTCAGACTCTCGTGTTTGCCTGAGTTCAACAAAAGCGGCCAGGTCGGATGGGTTCAGCACCGCAGTGGGCAAAGCGTCTTTGTCCTCGACGATGATCCAGTGCGGTTTTTTTGCAAGCGTTTCCTCCGCCTCGGATACACTGATCTGTGATGGCAGGCGCACAAAAGATCTGTCCATGATGGCGGTGACGCCAACCCGCTGCAGATGCAGTGTTACCGGGTTAGGCGGATATTGCAGGCCCAAGGTGTTTAGCGTGGTGATGAACACAGAGCGCTGCCGGAAAACCTGGCTGGTGACCATGGTGGCCACGACGATTATAACCATTGCCGGCAAAATAATATTGGTGTTGGCGGTCAGTTCCATCACCGCCATTAACGCCGCCAGGGGTGCCTGTAAAACGGCAGCCATCATCGCGCACATACCCAACATAACGTACAGCCCGAGAGAAACATCGGCAACTTCCCAACTGATCAGCAAACTGCCAAATAAGCTACCGAGGATCGCTCCGATAAACAGGCTTGGGCCAATCAAACCGATAGGCATTCCTAAACCGACCGCTGCGGCACTGGTGACCACTTTTGCCAATAAAATCAATAACAGCACCACGATCGATACTTCAGAAACCATTAACTGGTTCACCGTGTCGTAACCGACGCCCATAACCTGTGGCACAAATACCGCAACGGTTGCAGTGATTGCGCCGGCCATGACGATGCGTTGCCATAAAGGCTGTTCTGACAAACGGGCAAACGCCTGGATTAACTGGATGTAACCTGCGGCGATACAGCCAATGAGGATGCCACCTAGAACCAGGTAGGGAATTTCGAACAGCGAATGCATGGTTGAGGGAGCAACGATAAAAGCCGGTTCATTGCCGTACACAAACTGCGTGATCAGAGTTGATGTTACCGCAGCAACGATAACCGGGATAAAGCTGGCAATGGTGTATTCCATCATCACCACTTCCATTGCAAAAATGACACCGGCAATAGGCGTATTGAAGCTGCTGGCGATGGCAGCAGCAGTACCGCACGCCACCATGGTGCGTAGACTGTTGTTCGGTAGTCTGGACGCGCGCCCAAGCAAGCTCGCGGCGGTGGCGCCCAGATGAATCGCAGGCCCCTCGCGACCACCGGATTGACCGGTAACCAGCGCAATGGCGCCGCCAATAAACTGAATCACCGCGTTTTTTAAAGGCAGGTTGCCCTGGTGCAGGCTCAGACGCTCCATCACATGCACAACCCCGACGCGCCGTGCGGACGATTTATAGCGGTTGAGCAATAACCCTAATACGACTGCGCCACTCATAATCAGTATCGCGCGAGTGACGGTGTCCAACCCTTCAAAATTTTCCGTGCTGTCGCCGGGGAGCCAGATAAGACCCGCATCCACTACGGTGCGGAAACCCAGAATGACAGCCGCTGTAACGATGCCGGTAACAAAACCAAGCAACGCCAATTGCGGTTGTGCATCAACGGTTGCCAGGCGTCTGCGGAAAACGTCCAGATTGATAGGTCTTTTGAGTTTCGTGACGGGCTCTTAACGTCTGGGTTTGCGAGCCATAGTATACTGGGATATCGCTAACGTTAGGATAGTCAACATTCTTAAGGCAAATCGCTCCGCACCACAGTTCGAACTGGTTGAGCATCAGCCGTGGCGGCGGCCTCTAGTGCTTATTGTGACAATTGTGATTGGCGTCGGATTTTTCTTATTGGGCTACATCTTTGGCACCAATCAGATCATCACATACCGAGGTGATGCTGTGCAGTTGAGCAACCAGCTTGAAACAGCCAACAAAAAAGTTATTGAGCTGGATGCCCAACTTATTGATGCGCAGTTAAATCTCAACGTGTTGCGTGAGGCAAGTAACAGTCTCCGCGAAGATCTTACCAAGGAACTGAGTAAAACTGCGCGATTGGAAGAAGAAGTCACTTTCTTCAAAGGATTAATGTCACCATCGAGCCTGACCAAAGGCTTGCAGGTGGCTGAACTGGAACTGGTCGCGCTGCCCGAGGCAGGCGAGTACAACTTTCAGCTCCTTTTAACCCAGGTCGCTTTACGTCGCGGGTTTATCGCTGGTGAAGTCCGTTTAGATGTGATTGGTCGTTACGCAGACGACCCGGATGCAGGCGAAGCAGTGCTATCCCTCACAGAATTAGCCTCTTTAGAGGCCTATCCTATGAAATTCCGGTTTCGCTATTTTCAGGATATGAATGGCAACCTGGTTCTGCCTGATAACTTTTCGCCTGCGCGGATTCTTGTCACAGCAAAACAGTCTGGCAAAGAGCCGCTGCAGGTGAGCTTTCCCTGGCCTGATCTGGAGCGGCCTGAAAGAGAGGCCTGATATAAAGAGATCTGGGTTGGAAAGCCAGGAACTGGAAAAGGACGTGTAACTCAGGACGCAGCTTTCATATATGCGATCGCAGAGATTTAAGGACAGGACAAATGGCAAGACAGAAATTCGACAAAGGGGTCACCCTGATTGCACCTCACACCGAAGTGGTAGGGGATATCAATTTCAGTGATCAGCTCTATGTGGCAGGCAAGGTATCCGGCAATGTTGTCGCCAGCAGTGAAAAAGCAACCCTGGTGGTTAGTGAGGAAGGCTGTGTGGCGGGCGAGGTGCGAGTACCGAATATCATCATTAATGGTCTGATCGAAGGCAATGTATACGCCAGCAACAAAGTAGAGCTGGCACCTCAGGCCAAGGTAAAAGGGAATCTCTACTACAAATTAATAGAAATGCAGTTAGGCGCGTTGGTTGATGGCCAGTTGGTCCACGAGGAGGCCACCCCTGAGGCCAATGTGCACAAACTCAACGTCGATGCCAATGCCGACGGCTGAACCTGGCCCTGTTTGACATTCGCTTGACCGCGCAAAACGGTGCTGTAGATTATGCCGCAGACGTACCAATAGTAAGCAGAGGATCGTGGACACAAACATAGCCTTTTCCGACCGTGCAGCGAGCAAGGTCAAGCATCTGATAGAAGCCGATGGCGACGCATCTTTGCGCCTGCGGGTGTTTATTACCGGAGGCGGTTGTAACGGTTTTTCTTACGGATTCACCTTTGATGATGATGTTGCAGAGGATGATGCAGTGATCAGCCGTGGAGGGGTTTCCATGGTGGTAGATGCGATGAGTTACCCTTACCTGGATGGCTCAGAAGTAGATTACGTCGAAGATCTTAATGGCGCGCAATTTGTAGTCACCAATCCTAACGCAGCGGCCACCTGTGGCTGCGGCAATTCGTTTTCTATCTAGCTGAGTAACTTACGTACGACCCGTCATTTCAGGCGGGGTAGATAGCACCCAAGACCCGGCCACTTCTGGCACCGGTCACTGCCGGTTCGCTGCCGATAAGCCCTTGTAAACGCTGGTGTGCCAGCCAGCCAAACAGCGCGGCTTCAATATCATCGCCACCAATTCCGTGTGCCTCGCTAGGTAGTACTTGGGCTTCACACCTTTGCTCAAGTGCCTGCATCAACGCTGAATTGAGTCTGCCGCCCCCGCATACCACCAGAGATTGTGTGTCCGGCGCCCAACGGTTGATAGCCTCGACCGTGCACTCGGCGGTGAATGCCACGAGTGTGGCCTGAACATCTGCAGCGCCGGCATTTGTCTGTTCAAGGTGGGGGGTCAACCACTTCAGATTGAAATATTCCCGCCCGGTACTTTTAGGAGGAGGCAGCGCAAAATAGGGGTCGGTCAATAAGGCGCGCAATAGATGTTGATCAATTTTTCCTGTTCTTGCCCAGCGCCCGTCCTGGTCGTAATTATGACCGGTATGCAGTGCACACCAGGCATCCATCAGCGCGTTGCCCGGTCCGGTATCAAAGCCGCTTGGCGTGTTTCCCAGAATAGAGATATTGCTGATACCGCCAATATTAAGGACTACGGTCGCCTGCTCTGATTGGCCAAACAGGACCTGATGAAACGGCGGTACCAGCGGCGCACCCTGACCGCCTGCCGCCATATCCCGGCGACGAAAATCTGCAACCGTCATCAAGCCGGTAATTTCAGCAATGTAGTTTGGATCACCAATCTGTGTGGTGAAGCCATAGTCATGCGCTGGTTCGGGCGGGCGGTGGCGAACGGTCTGACCATGTGAGCCCACGGCGGTGATGCTGCCACGGTCGATGTCGTGCGCATCCATAAACTGGATCAGGGCATGACCTATAAATGCGCCCAGTGCCGCATCGCTGCGACCCAGCAGGTCAAGGTCGTCTGCGCCGGGTTGTCCGAGGGCCAGTAACGTTTCTTGCAATGCTTGCGGGAATGCGGTGGTGCTGGCGCTGCCAATAGACACTTGATTGTCTGTATCAACCTCGACCAGGGCGATATCCAGACCATCAACACTGGTGCCGCTGATGCAGCCTAGATAGCGTTGGGTGGTTTGCGCCGTCACCGTGCCAGGGCGAGGGAAACCTGGCTCTTATAGTTGTCCAGCAGCGCTAGGTATTGCTGTGTATGGGCATGGAAGAAAGGTAACTCGCCTTTGGGTATGGGCGCTGCATTGGGCAGTGATACGGTGCGGGGGTTCTGGTGTACACCATTGACCAGGAATTCATAGTGTAGATGCGGGCCGGTTGCCCAGCCGGTGGAGCCCACGTAGCCGATAACCTGCCCCTGTTTCACACGCTGTCCGGATTTAATGCCCCGTCCAAAGTTCTTCAGGTGCAAATACTTGGTCACAAACTGTTCGCCATGCTGGATAACAACGTAGTTGCCGTTGGCCTGGGTGCGTGAGGCGATTTTAACCTTGCCATCACCGGCGGCAAGAATGGGAGTACCGCGCGGTGCTGCGTAGTCGATGCCCCGATGGGGTCGCGATGTTTTCCACAGCGGATGCACGCGTCGCAGATTGAAGTTAGAGCTGATACGCGAGAATTCAACTGGTGCGCGCAAAAAGGCTTTGCGCATGCTTTCGCCGTTGGGCGCATAGTAGCTGGGGTCCGCGCCTTCCTTGGCATATTGGATAGCCTGGTAGGGTTCATCCTGATTGACAAACTCTGCCGCGAGAATGTTGCCGTGGCCGATAAATTCGTCTTCATGATAAAGCTCTTCATAGACGACGTAAAAAGCATCACCTGGACGAATGTCTAAAACAAAGTCGATATCCCACTGGAAGATTTGCGCCAGACGCATGGTGAGAGCATCTGATAAGCCAGCCCGTTGGCTGGCGACGAATAAGCTGTGATCAATGGTGCCATGTTTGTAGGCGAGCACGCGCTCGGGTTCAGCGGTGATTTGTTCCGCATCGAAACTCTCACCATTGCGCTCGAACGCCAGTGTATCCAATGGCCCGCTGGAATAGTCCAGCCTCATCAGGCGCATTTCCTCGTCTACAAAAAAAGTCAGTTCGTGGCCTGGGAATATGCTTTTAAGACGGCTGCCTAGAGGTTTGCTGGTGCTGACCAGGTGTACGTCGCGAGCGCTTAAGCCATTACGTTTGAAAATAAGTGCAAGATTGTCGCCCGGCTGTACTTTTGTAGAGATTTCCTGCCACTGTGGCTGAGCGCGGGGTTCTGGCTCCTTAGCTTGAACCGGTAGCATGGCCAGTTCCGCCACAACAGGCGTGATGGCTTCATTAACCTCAGTTTGCTGGCTGCTTAGAGCCTCATCCTTTATCTGTGGCAGATCAAGAAGCACAGACTCGGTGGTGAACCGGTCTGCATCAGGATCGTCAGCGAATTTTGCGATGACAAAAGAAGACAAGCCAAAGGTCAAAATCACAACAATAAAAAGATGTGCGCGCGGAAATTGCAACGTGGTCATACCGTCCATTGTATTGCCGCTCTGCGCTCTGCGAGTCGCCAGCAAATACTCTTTAATAAACCGTAGCTTACGCTCGGAACCTCGTATCGAGCAGGGAGTATACGAATTTGCTCTTTCTGTGCCAGTAATTTTGTCACAGGTTGGCACTCTCGTATTTGCGGTCTAGGAGGGTTTTGCTATGGTTCGCATCCATTTTGGGGGTCGAAATTATGTCTGGTGAGCTCATTGCCGAATTGCAGTGGCGGGGTCTGGTTGCTCAGGTATCGGACCTCGACGGCCTTTCTGAACATCTGGATAGCGGCTCACGCACCTTATATTGTGGTTTTGACCCTACCGCGGACAGCTTGCATATTGGCTCGCTTGTACCTTTACTGGCGTTACGTCGATTTCAGCAGTTTGGGCATACGCCTATTCTATTGCTCGGCGGGGCAACAGGACTGATTGGCGACCCGTCGTTTCGCGATGACGAGCGCAGCCTCAATGATGAAGATACTGTTGCGGGCTGGGTTGAGGCCCTGCAACGTCAGGTTGCCCCATTCCTTGATTTCGAAGGCAATAACAGTGCCTTGATTGTGAACAATTTGGATTGGACTAAAAATCTTGATGTCATCACATTCCTGCGAGAGATAGGCAAACACTTCTCAGTTAACGCGATGATTGCACGCGAATCTGTGCGCACCCGCCTTGATCGGGCTGATCAGGGCATCTCTTATACCGAGTTCAGCTATATGTTGTTGCAAGGTATGGACTATCTCGAGTTAGCTAAACGGCATAACTGTACGCTACAGATAGGCGGCAGTGATCAGTGGGGTAATATAGTCTCGGGCCTTGACCTGGTGCGGCGCCATCTCGGGGCTGAAGCTGATGCGTAC